ATATTGGACATAGTCGGAGTGCACTCATCAGTGCACAATTCTCTAGAGCAGCATCACGCAAAGCTCTACAAAATTAAAGTTCAAAATTGTAACCACTTCTGTCAGTGTTATAGCCAATCGTGTGTAAGAAACAAGGTGTGATAGATTCTGATTGGACATTAAAAAGGAGCAAGGTGGCTCACCTTGCGAATTCCATTAACAAGTCATCAAAATTTGCGGCGGGTCCACACTATTTGGTACGGATATCGTTGTAGTACGGATAAAGCAACTTAGCTGCAATGAGGCAATAGCTGTGGTTGCGCTTGCTGGACGACAACGACGATGCCAACGACGAGGCTCTTAGCAACCTGCTTGTTCAGAGCATGAATGTCCTTTAAGGAAAGACACTACCTCACCAGCAATGTCCTCGTACTGTCCAACGCGAGTCCATGGATAGTGTTGTATGGTTCGATAGACCGCAGTGCATTCATAACAACCGTTTCCTTGCCACCCGACCTTTTTCATAACCTGCTCCACGAGTTTTCCATGCACTTCACCTGGAAGCCCGGGATTTCCAAGCTAGGACACCCCCCCCCCAAACTACCACACAAGCACCAAGCCTTGGCACTTGCCCTCCACTACTACACTGCGGCATGCGAGCACAAAACCCTGTGCGAAATATTTGGAGTCCCTCCGTCGACGTTTGAAATAGCGCTCCGAAAGGCTGAGGTCGCTCCCAGTGGTTACCTCCAAGAAGTAGCAGTCTCTCGATGCAGTCGAGTAAGCTCAGCGTTTCTTGGGAGCTCCATCCCTTCCTTAGTCCTTTCGGTCCCATGCCAAAGTTAAAGTGGTTGGTCGTAGCCACCAACCTGTGAGCCAATCAAAGAGTAGAGATTTGCGCCGGTTTCTGTGGACATCACTTTGCCTCATGTTAATATTAATCAAATTTCCGACGGATAATTTTTGGCCTGCACCGGCACAAAATTAGGTTTGCGCCGGTTTCTGAAGTCCTCAAGTATTTGATATCGGTTGCTGCCGACATCAAATCGACGTTTTCTGGCGAGGGCATTGCATGACCGACATGAGAATGTGCTATTATGGACGAAACGTCCTTCTATATATCCCATTAGTCGATGTGTATGTCGTGTAGTTAGTTACATAACAGAAATATAATGCAATATCAAGCTGTAAATGGCTATAATCCGTCCAGACTGGTACTTCACCCCGGCCGTCTCCACCCTCCACCAATTGGCCCAACTCCAAACCTAGTACGTGTTGTCTCTCAGTTTAGGCCTACCAAAACAACAGCCACTCGCTCTGCCTGCAACGGCGAAGCCAATGAAAGCAGGGGCGACTCCCTCGCTGATGCATTTGGTTTGACATCTTACCAACAGCAGAGCATCCAACCTCGGCTGAACCTCAGCTACA